CCAAGTTGAAGAAAACCAGAGAACTTGTAAAAAGAAGAGTCAAATCCAGATTCCAGTCTAAAGTCCAAATTCATAACCATCAGCCCAAATCAGCAGGCAGAAATGCTCATCAGGAATAGATGAAAGGGGAAAGACCCCAGAAACAGAAGAAACAACTTTATTTTTAAGGCCATGAGCATTCTAAGTATTTTACTCATACAACTTACACCTTTTCAACATATAATGCCCTCTTTTAACATTTAAAGGAAAATATGATTCAGTTCTACAAGAAGACTCCTTTTCCTGTTGAGAAAAATGGACACAGATAYCCAGTCGTGTAGGTTTCTTAATGATGGCAAAATGAGCAGGGAACAGGGCACACACCTGTAATCCCAGGTACTCAGGAGGATCTCAAGTTGAAGGCCAACCTGGACAGCATCCTGAGATCCTTTCTCAAAACAGAATTTCAAAAAGGGCTGGGGATGTGGCTCAGTAGCAGAGCGCTTGCCTAGCATRTGCAAAGCCTTGGGTTTGATCCCTGGTGTTTGTGTGTGTGTGTAAATAAAAATAAATAAAAAATAATAAGAAGAAATTAGGCAAAGTTATAGGTGTATCTTCCACCCACTTAGTCCATGAGGTACTGTAAGGATCCCCAAAAGGAGGGAATTATGAAGCATTTCTAGGGGTAACAGACTAGAAAGTACATGTAAAGTTTTTTTTTAATTTATTTTTTCAATTGTACACAATTCCTTTATTTCGTTTTATTCTTATGTGGTGCTGAGGATCGAACCCAGGGCCTCACACGTGCTAGGCAAGCGCTCTACCAATGAGCCACAACTCCAACCCTTTTTTTTTTTAAATAGCAATCAAACCCAGTGCCTCTCACAGGCTAGACAGAGTTCTACCACTGAGCTACATCCCAAGCCCTGAACTTCAATTTCTGAATTTAAATTACAAATACAGAGGAAATGTTCGAAGGACTCTTGCCCACAGAGAGAACTCTGGTGCTGGAGGGTGGCCACTGTTTCTTGCTGGGCAGCATGCATGTCTTCAGCTATGCCAAATGTACCTCCAAATGTCTACAGCCTGGAGACCACTCAGTTCTACCACACTATTGAAAACCTGGTTTTAAAAAGTTTTATAGGTTAATAGCTACATTATTTGAAAATAATGTACACTAGCATACGATTATGCAAGTTTACTACAATGTTTATGGCTACCTAAATCTGGCTTTTAAGTCCTTCCTTCCTCTAGGACAAACGAGGGCTCTTAATTTTATACAAGAAGCTTCTAGGCAGTAGATTGAATTGGACAGAACTTTCCTATGCTCATGTAAGACTACAGGACCAGGGAAACTCCACATAATATACAAATACAAGAATGAGAAGTTAGACTCCATGTATATATGATAAGTCAAAATGCACTCTACGGCCATGGATATCTAAAAAGAAAAAAAAAATTAAATATACACACACACATAGAGACTTCTAGCCAGCCTCTGAACAACTCTGCTAGACAGCCGCTGTCCACATGAGTAACTAGAAGGTCAGGCAGGTTAAGCAGCCACAGTGCATGAGAGAACCTAGGCTTGAACCTAGGTCTGTTTTGACACAGAAACTCTTTTCCCATCATGTTCCCTTCAAGGCACAAACACATTTTCCTGGAGTGACTGCTTGCCTCCTAGTCAGATTTCACATTTGCTGGGGAGAAATAAGAGCGTGAAGCTGTGAACCACTTACTCTAAGGGACTCGAGTCCCTGCTTATTCAATCTATCTGGTCTGAACTTTTAGATACAATGACTAGGCCGCAAGGCACCCAGGGCGAGCATGGCAGGCCAGCCTGCCCTTTGTGTATGTGCATGGCTCATCAACTGACAGGCAAGATCTGCTGTGGGAACAAAATGGAAGTGCTTCTGCACCTCTGAGGCCCACGGGACGAGGCTGAAGACATCTTTAAAGTACTGAGCTCAAAACTCYACTTTTTACAACTTTTTTCCTCCTGGGCATGAATATTCTCACCCCCATTTTATTTAATAAAAAGATGAATCTCTAACCACTCCTGGACTCCTGGAGGTCCACAGAGCCCAGCATAACCTTTACTCTAAAAGCATACTTCAGAAATATCCACAAAGGCCCACATAATTTCATAGCCCTCAGATAAAGACCCAACATGAGCTCTCATATATTTTCAGAAGGAAAACTCAATTTTTTTTGAATGTTTGTTTGTTGTTTACTTTGCAGGACTGGGAGTTGAACCCAGGGCCTGCACACACGCTGGGCAAGCACTCTACCCCTGAGACCACAGGCCCCATTTTTTATCTATTTTCCTCAACTAGTCTCTAATATTCTCAAAGAAACCAGGAATCTAAAGACTTGTGTAAATCACAAAATCTACGGTTACAGAAGCTCAAAGTGCAAATCAGCTTTCTTACAGCTTAAAACTGTCTATTTCCAATTATGTTTCTACCTAAAGTTCTCCCTAAATTGGAAAGAACTGTCAATATGGCACAGGACTTGAGTCCATCCTACATTAACAATGACAAAATGGTTAGTATTTGAAAAAAAGGCCACTTCTAAAATTCAATAGGATATTCTCTTGCTACATATTACATGACAAAAAGAAAGTGAATTCTTTTTTTTTTCTTTTTTTGTACCAGGGATTGAACCCCAGGGTGCTTAATCACTGAGCTACATCCCCATTCCTTTTTATTTATTTTTAAATTTTGAGACAGGTTCTTGCTAAGTTGCTCAAGGCCTCACTAAATTGCTGAGGCTGACTTTTAACTTGTGATCCTCCTGTCTCAGCCTCCCAGGCCACTGGGAGTAAAATGAATTCTTAAATGTTCAATGCATAGATCTGTGTCAATGCAGTTGTGAGGTAAATTATGTGGCTGACAATGCAGATTTTGAAGAGTTCATAAAAGTTCAAACCACGTGTTGCCCACCACGTGAGTCAAGAAGTTTCAGGAACGTTCATTTTCAGGTACACCTCAAACTTCAAAGTCTTTCAATCCCCTGTGGCTTTATTACTTTTATAAAACTTCTCATTAACAAAATTGTGAGTTTACCAAAAGAACTTATAAAGTGTTTGGTCAGGACTCTATCTATGAGTAACTGATAAAATGTTTCTTGGAAATTTAACAGTTACAAGGATCAGCAATACTTTCCTTTAAAAACATTAAAAGATTCTTTGAACTCACTAGATACTGTTTCAAAATCAATAAGATGATAAGATCAAGTGACAGGCAGCTTTAAAAAATATCTTTTCACTACTTGACAATTATTTTTCAAATAAGAAATACCCCCCACCAAAATGCCTCTTGGGCGATAGACAACCAATTGATACGTTCAATATACTATTTGTACTACTTAAGATTTAAAGACATTCTTTGGTTAGTTTTCTCTATCCAAAACCAAGGAAATGAACAGGGTCTGAAACCCAAGGACCACCGGCCTGCCCCTTAGGCCAATATTTTTTCAAACTCAGGAGGAAGGGGAAGGAAAGTTATACACGGGTTAATTTTTGCCTTTGAACCAAAAAGCTAATTCTTGAGCTTTAATTTTTAATATATTTATTTATTTWTTTATTTATTTTTTACTGGGGATTGAGCCCAGGGGCACCTTACCACTGAGCCACATCCCCAGTCCTTTACAAGACAGGGTCTCCCTAAATTGATGAGGCTGGCYTCAAACTTTCGATCCTCCTGCCTCAGCCTCCAGAGCAGTTGGGATTACAGGCATGTACCCCTACATCCAATTTGAGCATGAATTCTTAAGAATACTGCAAGGGTATTACTGAAGTTATGAGCTTCCCTTAATATGAATAAAAATTTACATATACCGATTTTTTGGTAGAGGTTAACTACACTTCCTTAGCATACATTTGCATTTACAACTCTTCCTCTTTGAAAGAACTGGGGAAACCCTGGAGAAGGGACCCAACTTCAGTAAGAAAACGGAAACCACCAAATTCACCTTAGGCAAGTAACTGCTTTATACAGGATATGAAGATGCAAGAGGGTCATGAAAACTGGAAAAGGACACGTCTCCATCAAATACCAAACCTGGGTTCAAAACTCTGCCAGGCTTCTGGTGCTAACCGTTGTGGTGTCTGTTTCCTCAACTGGCACCTAAGTGGTGCCATTTATGAGAAAGTCATCGAAATCCAATCAAAGTGACTTTAGGGGCAGAGATGCCCTGGGATCTGCTCCGGGAAGGTCTCACTCCACGCATGGGCGACGCTTCTCGTGGAGCACCACCACCTCCCCCTCCGCTCCCAACTTCCCCTTACGACGGGGACGGTCACATAGACGGTTTCTGAAAACCAAAGACAAAATGAAACGAAAGCCCCCCCAGTCCAGACCCCCGACGGGACCCCGGCTCGGGGGTGGGCAGGCCCGCGGGCACCGCGCTCGGGGCCGCCCCGCGAACTCCTCCAGGAGGTCGCCAAGTTTCTTTCGCCCTTTTTCCCGCATCCGCCGGAGCCCAGGCAGCCAGGGGACAGACRCGGCGGCCGGAACCGCGCGACCTGGAACCCGGGGCCTTTTCCTCCTTGGCCGGCCGCTCCCGCCGCCCGCGCCCGAGACGCGCCCCGGCGCGCGCGGGCGCCAACTTTGCCGAGACCCCGCGCCGCGGCCCGCGGCCCCGCTCCAGGCGCCCCGCCGCGCCGCGCGCCCCACCCCCGGCTGCACTCCCTCCCCAGCGGCGGCGGCCCGGGCGCGGCGGGGGCCGCGGCCACCTTCCCCGGAGGCCGCGGGGGCCCCGACCCCGCGCTCCCGCAGCCGCGGCGTCGCCCGGGCGAGCTCACCTGGCGGCTGGCGGCGGCCTCCGGGGCGGCCTCTGGGCGTGGGCCGGGCGGGGGCGGCGGGGCCGGGGCTGCAGCCCGAGCCGCCGCCGCCGGCCGCCTGGCCTCGCCCCCTCACGCGCCGGCCGCGGCCGTCCCCCGGGAGTGCGGGGAGCGCGGGGCGCGCGGGTCCCGCGGCGGCGGCGGCGGCGGCGGCGGCGCGGCGCGACTCAGGCGTCGGAGCGGGCGGCCGCGGGCGCCGCCGCCTCCTCCTCCATGGCTGTTTACCCGGCTGCATTGTGGGAGTTTGACCTCCGCCGCCGCCAACCGCCGCTCCAGCCTGCGCCGCCGCCGCCGCCGCGCACGCCATGGGAGCCGTGACTGACGGTGAGGCCCGCCGCCGGCCCGCGCGGCCTGGCGCCGCTCCCGGGGTCCCGCCGGCCGCCGCGCCGCGTCCCCCAGTCCCCCGGCCGCCCCGGCCGCCGCGCCCAGCCTCCGCCGCCCTGGGAGCCACGCCGACTCCCGGGCCGGCCTTCCCAGGGGCCGCGCGGGGCACCGGGAGCGGGTGCTGGGCCGGCCGTCGGGCGCCGCGGGCACACGTGGGGTCCCGAGGGCTGGGAGCCGAGCGCGGGCGCGTGGTTCCGGGGGCCGTGGAGGGAGGTCCCGGGAGCGGCGCGGGCTACGGAGCGTGGAGGCCGGGGGCCGGGGTGCCGCAGGGCCTGTGGGGTGGCTGCTTACAGGGACTGGGCAGGAGTTCCGGGGCCTGGGGGTGGCTGCTCACAGGGGTGACACCTGGAGGGGTCCCTCAGACAATAGGCTGGATCGCCAGGAGGCCTTGGGATGTGGGTGGGGACAGGGGGCTGCAACCTGGGTCCGAGAGGAATGGCTGTGAATGAGTGGAGCGGCTGGAGGGCAATCGGAAGTGCACCTGGGAGGTTCACTCGTGTGCCACCCTTATAGGATGAGGCCACCAGGGCCATGGGGACAGTGTGTATGTGTGTGAGAGAGAATGTGTGTGTTGGGGCGCGTGGTTTGTCAGCTGGAATGGATTGGGGAGGGCTGGTTTTGTGAGCATTTGTGAGTCTAGGGACTGATCAGTAAGGGGACATTTTGGGGAATGGTGAGCAGGCATGATGGGCAACTGGAGGAAGAATCTGGAAGGCTTCCTGTTAGGAAGGGAGGTCCTGGGGCACCTAGGAAGGGAAAGGCTATTGGGTTTGATGCTATTTGTGAAGAGGCTGCTTCTGGACCCTGGGCGAGAGGGTCCCAACATTAAAGAGCTAGGCAATGGGAAGAACTGGGATAGGCCAAATGTGGGGACCCATAAGAAGTAGTGTGTGGGGGGGGCAGTTAAAGGCCAGGGACTTTCATGGGCAATTTCTCTCTCTCTCTGTCTCTCATTTTTTGTTTTTGGTACCAGGAATTAAACCAGGGGTGCTTGACCACTTACTGAGCCACATCCCCAGCCTTTTTCAGTATTTTATTTAGAGACAAGAATCTCATTGAGACTTAGGGCCTTGCTAAGTTGCTGAGGCTTTGAACTCGCAGTCCTCCTGCCACAGCCTCCTGAGCTGCTGGAATTATAAGTCTGCACTACCCCAGCTGGCTTCCAGTTTTGTTTATTCAGTAGATATTTATAATGCCTGGGCTAGCTAGGCCTTGCTGGGGTTTACAGCCTAGAACCAACAAGCAAGATCTTTTCCTCAGACGTTCCGGACTGGTGAGAAAGACACATTAAGTAATGAGTTGTAAGGGTTACCCATGTTACCACGCGGGAAGAGCAAACCTGGGAGCTTTTGGAATAGGTTGTACACTGAAGTAATTACTCTAATCCCTTTTTTTTCCCCTAAGGATAAATAGGTGTAGTTGGACTTGGTTTCCAGTTGGGAAACCACTTGTGCAAGAGCCCAAAATATTGGAAGGAGTGAAAAATGAGAAGTATTGGCTACAATTTAGAAAGTTGAGCCAAAGATTTTTAACTGTAATGGGAAGCCATTAAACATTTTTGATGTGGGTCATGTAATCAGATTTGCTTTTCTTATGTTGATTTACTTTGGGCTGTGGGCTAGAGATCAAATCCAGGGTCTTGTGTTAGGCAAGCACTCTACCACCGAGCTACATCCCAGCCCCAGAATTGCGTTTACACACACACACACACACACACACACACACACACACACACATCACTGTACTATGTGAAGCATGTTGAGGAAAAGTTGAGGTGCTAAGTAAATTTCCTGTCCCTTACTAACATGTATATTGTACTTACACTATGTATCAGGCACTGTTCTAATTATTGCCCCCCTTTACAGATGGAACTGGAACCCAAAGAGATTAAGTAGCTTGTCTGAAGTCTCACAGGTAGTAGGTTAGAAAGCCTGGGCCACAAACCAGGCAGACTGGTTCCAGAGTTCCTGCTCTTCACTCTTAAGATGGTCCAAGTGAGAGGTAATGGGGCCTTGGACCAGGATGGGACTGACTAAGAGGGAATGCGGAGAAGTGGACAGGTTGGGAGGTATGAGGTAGGGTGCCAGGGCTTCAGTGCCTGAGTGAGCGTGGAAGGGGAGAGTCAGGATGATCCCACATTGTGGCTGGAGTGACTCTGGGCCTACTAGGGCTACTTCTATATTTATTGAGAAATAGCACTCCAAAGGAGAGGTATTTTGTAAATGGGAGATGGAAAGGAGATGAGTTCTGGTAAATGTACTTCAGTCAAGTGTCCCTACATCCTTTGAGACCATGAAAATCCCCACTCTGTCACTAATATAAAGTGTCTGACCCCAGGCAGGTTACTTAGCTTCTTTGAACCTCAGCTTTTTTCTCAGTAAATGAAGATGGTGAAATCCACCTCGGAGGGTTGTTTTGAAGKTGAAATGCAGTAAAAGCCTTTGCACTGAGTCCAGTACGTAGTAATGTTCGGTAAATATTAAATATGAGTTGTTTACTAACCTCTGTTCTACTTTCCTATGATGAGATCTGTGCCCTCTCCATCTTTGAATCTGCTCRTATTTCCCTTCCCTGACTTTTCTGCTTGGAGAGAAATGAGCTGAAATAAGTAATATTTGTGATTAGTCAACAAATAAGTGTTTCAGACCTTCTAAACACAACAGAGGAGGGAGGGCCCCGACTTCTGCTTGAGGGAGAGAGGTAATAGCATGCCATCAAATAAGTAAATAAGATAATTTCTGAGAAGAAGCATAATTAAGTTTTGAGAATGAATTTGATGGAATGATGATAAAGTAATGGGGGTGGAGCTGCCAACAATTAGGATAAAATACGTTGATCAAGTATGATGTCTCTGAAAGCTGACCTTTAAAGTGAGATCTGAAAAGATCAACCATGTGAAGCACCCAAGAAAGTATTTCAGGTAGTGGCAAAGGCCTGAGGTGACAACAGACTGTACCTCTTGGGTGAAGATGAGGAAGGCCAATTGGGGTGGACCCAGGGAGAGGGATGTAAAGGGAGGGAAGCCAAGTGGAGCTCCTGATGAACTGTGCAGGCTATGGAAGGGACKGGATTGTCCTCTGGGCACCTGGCAATGATTGGAGGATTTTAAGTAGAGAGTCAATGATCACTTCATCTTTTAGATCATTCTCAGTTGTTGGGTAGTAAGTGCATTCTAGAAAGCCCAGAATGGAAGCTGGGAGCCCAATGTGAAGTATTTGATGTGAAAGACATGGGCTTGGGTTGGTGACGTCAGTGGAGAGGACAGTGAGCAGTGGAAGTTTTTGATATTCTGAAAACCTCTTAGAGTAGGACCAGTATTTGTCCCTGGTGCTTAGATGAGAGCCAGTGTGAGCTGGGTACGGCAGGGGCTGAGCCAGGAGGAATGCAAGTTTGAAGCCTCAGCAACTTGGGCCCTGAGCAACTTAGTGAAATACTATCTCAAAATAAAAAATAAAAAGGTCTGGAGATGTAGCTCAGTGCTAAAGAGCCCTGGATTCAATCCTTAGCACCAAAACAACAACAACAGCAAAAAACTAGTATCCTTTTAAAACTGGGGTACCTGATTAGCTTTGTCCTCATGCAKTCCTTACATCTGCGTATGCATATACAAAAGCCCTTTATTTCTGCACCTAATTTGAGGAAGAACACTGCCTCTGAAGGAAGTAGAGAGGAGCACTATGTTGCCATCTGTGGATATTGGACTATAGATGTTATCACCAGCATTGTCATTTTATTTGGGGTGGGGGAGAATATTGGGAATTGAATCCATGGTTACTCAGTGGCTTAACCACTGAGCCACATCCCCAGCTCTTTTTATATTTTATTTAGAAAAGAGAGAGTTGCTTAGGGCCTCTCTAAGTTGCTRAGGCTGGCTTTGAACTCACAATCCCCGCCCCCTCAGTCTCCTGAGCCACTGGGAGCATTGTCATTTTATAGATGAAAGAGTGGAAGTCCTGGAGAGTTACTGTCAAATTCCTTTATTCTCTCTCCCCTGATGTCACCATATCGTTTTGGCTAACTGAAAAATAGTTTGGATGTTGTCACTGTTAATTTAAAATATGTTAACAGTTTGTATCTTGGAGGTGTTAATTTAAAGAGTGTTAAACAGTGTTAGTACCCTGTTAAAAATCATTTTAAAAGCACTTTTTGCAGTACAGAGAACATTAGGTAGATCATTGATATGCCAGAGCAACAGATGGGAGACGAGAAGGGGAGTGGGGTCATCTCTACGTTCTATTTAATAGAGCTTGTTGGTTTTGACAACAGATTTTTTTTTTTTAATCAGAAAGGTGTAATGCATGGATATATGCTTGTTAAAATTTGAAATAATGATTTTAATATGCCTATAAACAATATGACAGAATAACAGAACTGCACTATAACCGTATAATAATGTAATTCTGTATATTTTGTTATGAATGCAGAGGTGACACCAGTCACCTATAAAAGAAAGATAATAGCACACTTTACAGAGTGTTTCAAGGATGAAGTATGATACTACATGTAAAAGCACTTTGAAGTTGAGTGACCATTTAGAAGCCAAGACACTTTTCAGAGTGAAAGGAGACACACGAGATGTATGTTCACCAATAAGTGTGTGAACAGCGCTTAAGTATTTGCTGTTGCTGTTGGTGGGACAAAAATGGATTCCCTTTCTTTTTCCACCAGTGCCAGTAGATTTGTCCAGCTTATTCCATAATCCACTGTTCCAGCAAGAGGATAACTAATGTRCTTCAACTATTTCATATTTCTTTAGCCCAAATAGATAAGCAAGTTTGGCACTCCATCCTTGAGATGCACCATATTCTAAGCATTGAGACAGAAAAAYAGAAGATCCCCACACTGTTTTTTTGCTTTTTWAAAAAAAAWTTTTTTTAGACACTTTTGGCTTGAGAAATTTACTTTGGCATCAGCAACTTACTTAGATTGGTCCTGAGGAT